AATACTAACCTTATTTCCAGCACTAACACCTACTCTTACTCTAGTTCTAATTTGGACCAATTCCGAATTCATATATATCTCGTGTATTAATACTGTATTTCTATTGAATGTGTATGTTGACGAATAATGATTACGTGACAAAGATTCCTTATTCATATGTAGTGTCTATTACTTTATTACTAGGATTTATTCTATATTAAAATGGAGACACAGCATGTTTGTTATATATTTTGGGATGTTTATATAAAATGTTGCTATTACTGTATTAAATTATGAAGCGGCAACAACGAGGGCAGACGATTTTTGTGGTGACGATCATAACTGTTTCAAAAAATGTTGTGCACTAATCTCCTTACATTTTTACCCAACCAGCTTGCAATTTTTTTTATTCACGCTGCCCGACCAATCGGTCGGTCGATCGATTATTAAAAGTGTTTGTCTTTATTCTTTGTGTAAAAGGTATGTTTGCTGCACATACAAACCACTCCACTATATGCAATTTTACTAACACTTAACAAACAATAATAACAAATACTTTGATTATTCACGGAGTTTATAATGCTGTAATGCTGAATGCTGAATGCTGAATAAATAATAAATAATACTGCATTAACTTACTTAAGGATAATGGAGAAAAGAGTTTTTAATTTGAAAGTCCAATTCACCAAAAGAGATCGTATAAATCATCAAAAGAAATATAAAAGCGATATTACTTGAAAGAAAGATATCGTTTTTTCAAATTGAAAACTTTTTCTTATTCGATTAATATAATTTTGATAGTCTATAATTGATTCATTAAAAATTATGAATCAACAACAAAACCAACAACAAGCAAATCAACAACAGAATTTACTACAGAACCAGCATAACTTTCAACCAAATCACCCACCACCACATTCGGACATTATAAATGGAAGCAATAATATTTTTGATAATTCGTTTACTACTACATCAAATCCAAATGACAATAATATTTCGATTATACTCCTTGAATCATATCGTTAATAATGAATTAGCATCTCTTTTATTTGCTTTATTATTATTATATTTATATTTTAGATCTAGATTATATATTCTATATTCAAGTTTCGTTTGTCGCTCTTTCATTAAATCCTAATTTATTAACGATACAATCATACCTCCATATAATCACACCCTCGGGAACAGAAAGAAGTGCGCCTTTAAAGAGACTGTGACCGTATGAGGCTGTGACGATCAGAGTGTGACTGTATAGAAGTTATTATTTTTTGGTACTAATTTTCTCTCATATATTTTTACTAGTCACATCTTTGGAATTTACTAAACATTCTACGTATACGTGCAGATTATGTAAATGTCAAAATCTTAATATTTATAGAATAATTTATTTTAGTTAATTGTCAAGTTTTTAAACAATCCTTTCATTTTTACATATAAAATCAAATTTAATTTTTTTTGTTCATACATACATGTATATTATCCCTTAGAAACTCAGTTGCACGCACATTAAATTAGAATTTTTACATGAAATTAGATACAACTACAGATCTTGGTAGATGCACCGTGTGCATACGTATATTGCTTAAAGTTGATTAATAATTGTCATATTTACCCGTATAGAATTTCATCGAATAATATTTCAAAAAACCAATAATTGAATGAAAATAATTATGTCAACTACAACTTTATTGATAGTGTAAAAATTAATGAAAAATCATGCTTTATATTCTCAGCTTGGTTTAAAATGGTTTGAAGTATGTTATACCTTTTTTGGTTACTGTCTAAAAAAAGTTATAACTAAGATACGAATACATAGATAAAATAACCGGAACAATAACGCAAAAACTGAGAAACTCATATACGTAGATGTTTTAGGTTTATAGATTCAAATTATTCTGAAATATGCAATATTAAAATTTCGAATTTTTTTAATTATAGTGAAAATACTTTTGCACAAAACAAAAGTATTTTGACATAATATTTTAGTGCATTTTGCCATATCTTTTTAAAGAGTAACTATGATTTTATGTATTTAGAAGTTTTTCATTAATTTCCACATATAAGGTTTGATTGAAATTTTCTCCGCAAAAAAGAATAGCAGAGGAGGAGATTTCTTTGCACCACTTATGAAAGACTAGATAATTACATTAAAGCTCAAAAGTTATTAGATACTTCGGAACAAGAATTAGCCCTCAATAAAATTCAAAAGAGTTTAGAATTAAAAGCTGAAGAAACCAAATTATTGTCTCACAAAAAAAGTGTCCAGTGACTTTTGTCCGTCAAATGTACGTTAATAAATGGTTACTGTCAACTATCTAATCAAAATGCATATTGTTAATATATGAATCAAAAATTCTCAAGTTTCATATACGCACTGTAAGTACAATATAATTCGACTCGACCATATTTACAGTTTATTTTTTATTCTCATCGTTTCTTATTTATTTATTGTCTTAGGCCTATTTGATGGATACAGAGAAACATCTCTAAGTGCACTCCCTTGGGATCATATTAAAAAAAGACAGAGTAAATAATTAGAGACCTTATAAGTTTGGGACTGAGCCATAGCGTGCATTTAGGTAGTGTGTATATATTGTGTGCATTTGTAGAGGATATACTTAGGGCAATTTTCCGTACAAAGAATCCGGAATTGGACCTGAACTTAGTTAATGCACGTTACAGCATTACACGAAGGTTAAAACTGTTTCTATCAATTTGGAAATTGCGTTATAATTTCATATGTTAGAGATGCCATCTATGTTTTGATATATCAGTTTAGATAAAAATGTATTTAACGCAAAAAACAAAAATATATTATATTTTTAAGCCTTCTTTCTTTTATTGAAACCTTACGTTAATTTGTTAGGGAATTTTAGAATTCATGTAGGAATGATGTCCGTTCTTCCAATCTCTCCGCTTTAGAATCAACCATCTTGTTATGCAGTACGGAAAGATATAGTGCATGCATTAGTATATAGTCAAAGAATGCAAGGGATTTGACGACATCTCAGGGCTTTATTACTGTTCTCATTAATTCAAGAATTGTTGAAACTAATGAATTAACAATGGAACAATCAGGAAAGTACAAAGATCGAATGATTTACGATTAATGGGATTCACTAATGGTTCTAAAGGTCTCCTGTGCTAGTTTGTATGTAAACTAACTTATTATTAAAGATAAAAGTAGAACAAAGAAGGGAATTGAATAAAAAAATTATAATAAACTAAAATAAAACTAGTATAATTATTGAAGATTTATTGAGACTGCCTAATGAAATTAAATAACAATTAGACTTATTGAGGCTGCTAATAAAGATAATAAAACAAAATAACTATGTTGATATATAAAATAAAATAAACAGGACTAATTTTTATTGACACAGCCTAAAAATAATAAAATTAAAATAACTAAAAATATTAAATTCAATAACTTATTTAGAGTGGAGAAATATTTACTACTTGATATCAAAATTAGTGTATTTATAAGTAAGCTATTATAAATAAAAACTTTATTATTTTTATTAGATCAAAGTATAAGAGTTTCTAGTAATAAGAGATTCTTTTTATATTTCCAATAGTTTTTTATGGTTTATATAACTAATAATTATTCTAAATCATATCACTATTTAGAGATAATACTAAACAATACTAAAGAAAATAAAGACAGAAATATTAATAAAATGAAAATAAAAGTAAAAATTTACAAGAATATTAGTTATAAAAACAAAAAAAATTAAGATTGCAGTAAAAAAATATTTTTAAAATAAATCATAAAAAAATAATATTAAAAATAGAAATAAAATATTAATAAAAATAAAAGTGAAAATAAGAGATAAAATAAATATAACTAATTAGATAAATATAATGAAATAAGGATATTTTTGTTGGAGATAAAATGTATTAATAGCAAAATTATTAATTTTTGAATGAAAAATACAAGAGAAATAAAAATAAAAATGAAAATCAAGATGAAAATACAAGTAAAAAATGATTTGTTAATAATTATTTAATTTATAATTAAAAAGAGAATAATATTTACAAAATTTATACTAAATATAGTTGTATAATAATATATAAAATAAAAATAAAAGGAAAAATAAAAGGAAAAATAAAAATGATTATCATTAAATTAAATTATAATACTGTTATTAATTCAAAAATTGTTAAAATTAATATATTAATAAAATAATATAACAATAAAAAACAAAGACTGAATAATTTATAATTAATAGAATTTACTAAAAGTTTTAAAGATCTTTTTAATAGTATGTACACAAACTAACTTAATATCAAAGGTAAAAATAGGAACAAGTAAAATAATTAAATAGAAGAATAAGATAAACTAAAATAAAAATAGAATAACTATTAAGAAATAATAGGACTTATTGAAATTGCTTAACAAAATAAATAATAATTAGATTTATTGAGACTATCAATAAAGAAATAAAAAAATAACTATATCAAAATAAAACAAATAGAACTTAATAATATGATCTAAAAATAATAAAACCAAAATAAACAAAAATATTAAGTCAACAGCTTATTTAAAATGGAAAAGTATTCACTACTTGTAGTTAAGCTTTGAAGATAATCACAAAATAATAGTATATTACAAGTATAATATTTATAAATAAGAACTTTCTTATTTTTATTAGATCAGAGCATGAGAGTTTCTAATAATAAGAGACTTTTCTTTTCTATATTTTCAACAGTTTCTGTGATTTATATAATTAATAATCATTTTAAATTATATCACTATTTACAATAATACTAAACAATACTAAAGAAGAATAAAAACTGAAAAATAAATAAAACTGAAAAATAAATGAAACAATTAAATTAAATAACCTGAGATAAATTATAAGGAAATACAATATTAGAAATAGTAATGATGAAAATAAAGATAAAAATGAAAAATTAAATTAATATAAATATAATTGGATGGAAGGTAAAATTTTCAATCTTGCTATTGGATCATAAATACGCAAAATAGATATAGTATTTAATGTTAAGACAAATAATTATGAAGATTCCTCGACATCATCGCCTTCAAATTCTTTGAGATATGAATCAGGTTTTCCTAGCTTGAATTTTTGCTTAACACTTTTAAGGTGAATTTGTTTCGTGTAATTTTTATCACTTGACAATGAGCTTTGTGGCTCAAGTTTTTCAACGAGAATATACATGTATCTACAGCGATAGTGAAACTAACAAATAAAATTATAAGTCAGAAACACACCTCTTATTTTTGCAAAGCTTTTTTGACATTATGCTGTGGTTTAAATTTATTGACAAGAAAGCTAATCAAAGAATATTATGATTGTATGAGTGAAAAAAAACTCTAAATAAGAAGAATTTTATATTGTGTTGCAGTACTGTGGTGCAGCTTGCTTCGTAATACATGTACATGTATATATATCCGCATCTGGATCACGAATTAATTACATGTATGTTGTCATATATCGATATATATTACATTTGATAAGATTCATCCAAAGCCACAAATTATGGAATATAAAAATATTCTTATAAAGCTTCTAATGTGAAAAATATAATTAGAGTACTTAAGCAGCAAAAAATTCAAAATTCTTCGTTTAAATAAAAAATGATTACTAGTTCATGCCACTTTTAATATGAAAGAACCGTTTTAATTATAAATCAACAAAAAATTTTTTATATGTATTTATACAATTTTAAATCGGGCGTTACTTTTGGGGTAATGTACATATCGATATATTCTTCAAAACGTTAATAGACTAGTGCCGTTTTGACATACCTTTTTATATCCAGGTGGTTGTCGAGCCCTAAAAATAAAGATTGAGTAAGCAATTCAAAGAGAGAAAGTCAATTCAATAAAAATAATGACATTTACCATTTCAAGAACTTTTCTGAATAGTCAAACGAAACATGGCATCATCATCTTCGACATAATTATTTGCCAAGAGCGTATAAACTATAAATTTTCAATAATTAATTAATAGAATCAATTTTCAAATATGAGATAACTACTTCTATGTTATTCAATTTCATTGTGGACCATTCGAATTCTTTCGGCAGACTATATGGTTCCTTGCAGATTTCATCGTGAGGCATATTCGGTTCGATAGGGCCACTTCATCTTTATATTAAATAAACTGAAATATTAATTACAAGAACGAATATGATTTCCTACAAAATAATTCATAAAGACAAATTTTCTTAAAACTGCGCTCGATCATGTTGAGTGGTTAATGTTTGTTTCCGGGATCTTTTTAAATTGGCGAGAGCTCTTACTGACGTAAGTATAATATTTATCATTCTAGTCAGCTAAAAAAGTTGATGTGTCAAATATTATCACTATTTCAATGCTTGGAGCCGGTGATTCAAAAGCGCATTCACTCGTTGATTTTAGAGATATTGAAAGAGCAGTGGAAATTGGGTAAATAATTACAAAATTCTATAAACACAATATATAAATTCTAATTATTTATATAATTCCCACAATCGATTAATAGAAACTCGTTCTTAAATCAACGATTTTTCCATTTCGAGATACGAATCAAAGAAAACTCTATGCTTACTATCAGTGTAAACGCAGACAGTCGATGGGCACTAATCGGTCTTGACGATTTGGTCTCCGCTCTATCATTCTTCGCGATCGATGACGATGGTCTATTGCGACCTAGCTTGGAAGATAAACACCAACGTAGAATTTACACATTAACAGGCCCGAATTAGTTAGTGGTCCAATTAATTTAGCTATTTAAAGACCACATGCAGTTAAATTCTCGGAAGTTACGCGAGAAGATTATTTGTTGGGCAAGGATAAAGGCGGCAAAGAGCGTAATAGAGATTTGTTTAAGGGTCTTGAGCAAAGAAAAACTCATCATTTTAATTATCCGAGGCCCGCACCACTTAATCCATAGAGTCTGACCTCTTATTGATATTTTTTATCAACTAAATATATAACACACTACACAAAAAGCTTGGACTTTTCGACTACGGAAGAGCCGGATATTTGTTCGGAGATGTTAAAGCAATTACCAACGGTAATATTAAAACCATTTTTTTAAAATTTTGTTATTGTTAATAATAATCTTATATAAACTTTTCACAGAGGAATCAAAACGAATAACGCGTTTCTTTAGGTAAATAGGCACTTCCGATTCTTTATGTTTCTGCGTTTAATACAAATAATATTTATTTTTTCATATTCGTTCAATTAAGGATAATTCTGATTCATTTCGTCCTAATCCAAAACGTAACAGTTATCGACAATCGCAAAGATATGACGACGATGAATACGAAAGAAGGCAACAGCGGCAATATGAATAC